GAAAAAGTTGGAAGTTAGGGAATACTGCTTTTGTAGTTCAACTTCATTATCCTCTACATTGGAATATATTTAGGCCATGAGAACTAGGGGAAGAAGGAGTTTGAATGTGTATTTTTTTTCCTATTGAATGTATTTTAACAACAGTGTCCTAAACTGAGAGAAAACAACAACAACAAAAAATGCATATTCACAAACTTTGTGGTTGGGAGGGCTGTGTAAACTGATGTATTTGTCAGTGTGGGTATGGGGGAAGATCACTGAAGATGGCACAGGAAGTTCTGAAGTTTAAAATACTTCTGACCAGCTTGGGCTCGGGAGGGTGGGGCTGTTCATGCAAATGAAAATGGAAACCTTTTTCAAGCAATAGCAGTGAGTGGGTCTCATGGACAAGGTTCCATTCCCAGAACCTGGAACTCTTGAACAGAAGAAAATGCTGAAGTGGCTTGAAGCAGTTTGAGCAGTTGCTTCTTGATACTGGCTTCAAGATGGATCATTGGAGACTTTTACCCCCTAAGAACCTGCATTTGCGCTTTGTGTGTTTTGTTTTTATTTTTATTCGGGGACCTCATAGGAAAGGGCTTCTGAAAACTCTTTCCTTTGTGAACTCCCACTGTGTTCCTGTAAAGTCCTTTTTCTTTCACTATGTTGTAAGTTACATTTTCATTAAGCCCCATCACATCTTCTTTACTGTAAAATTATTAAAAGGCTGTTTCCAAGTGGGACAGCTAATGAAGTTCTAATTATTGCAGACATATTTTTGAGATGTAAAAAAATTTAAAATGATATGATAAGTCTTGAAGGCGAGTGAGGAATAAAATGGATGTAAACATTTACATGGGATGCATTCGAATTCTGCTGTGTGTATTGTCTTTTGGTTGAAACAAATTATGAACAGTGACTAATAATAAAAAGTCAATACTCAATGATTTAAAATTTGCTGCCTTGCTTTTTACATGTGAATTAGAAGCCTTGGGTGAATTCTTACTCTAGACCGAACCTTTTAATGTTCTTTGTGCAGAAACCACACCAAGAGAAGAAACAACATTTTAAAACCTTGTAAATGTTATAGGCAGCGAAAATCCTAAAAGAGCAAGTGGTCATTTAACTGGAATGCAATTACAATCAAGTTTGTTTTCTCCACAAAGCTAAAAAGCCACTAAGATGAAATATGTGTTAAGGACACTCATGTTTAAAAGTTAGGTTTCGTGCTTTGTTTCCTCGGTTGGTTTTGGTAGGTTGTTTTGGTGACTCGATAGAGAAAAGCCTAATTACCCAAATGATTTACATCTCATGGCTTATTCTTTTTTATGTGTGTGTATAGGTAGGTGTTGCTCTAAAGGTGATGGTGTCGTGTTCCTCAGGAGCCATTCACCTTTTTTATTTGAGACAGGGCCATTCACTGGGACCTGGGGTTCCCATTGGACAGGGTTGGTTGGCTAGCAAGGCCACCAGTCTCCACATCCCTCGTGCTGGGATTATATCAGTGCTGCCTTCTGGGAATTCAGGTCCTCACGGTTGCATGGCACATTATCTTCCCAAACTTATATGTTTTTTGCTGAAGGTTGAACACTTTTGGTTTTCTGTGAATTCTCATGATCCCTAATATTCCCTTAATTGAGAAATGAGAAGATACGACTGTTTGTAGCTTGAAGAGGAGAACGGTGTAATCCTTGGCAGGCTATCTCCTTTATGCAGCAGTGCCTTTTGGCATTGGTTGATAACACTATGAACTTTTTCCTCTACATGCCAGAGTCAAAATTCGTTTCTGTATTTAAATTCAGCTGATGTAAATCTAAGTATAATTAGGTGAAAATAGAAAAGCTATAGTTTAGCCAGTAAACCGATGCTAGACATTTACTTAACAGTACAATGAATTGTGTACAGGCTTAAACATTAATCCAGAAGTACAAAATTAATTTTAATCACCTGAATGGCTTTTTATTCTGTGATCTCCCCCAGTTCAGCTGTCTCTATGTGAAAAAGTGAAAATGTTCAATGGGCTAGAGGTGCAGTTCAGTGGTAGAATGTTTGTCTAGCTTGTATGAAGCCCTGGGTTCACTTTAGAAGAAAGACGAGACATGTTCAAGAAAAAATTCTCCCAAACTTTGAAGTCAGATAAACAGTGGAACCAGAATACAGAATGCCTAACCCTGCTTATCCTGTGGTAGCGTAACAGTGGATTTGGGCCTAAAGAGGACTTTGTAATCAGCAGAAGACCTGGAACTAGAAATCAGTAAGTAGATGAAGTCCTGGGCACCTCTACCGAAGTCTGATGTTGGCTTTCTTTCTCCACAGTGTACTGAAGAGGCAGTGTGTGTAGAGCCTCAATAGAAAGGAAATGGAGAGGGATTCTAATGATTCTTTGCCTTGGCCTGGTGTGTAGTGAGGAGCCTGCAGTGAGGGCAGATTTTCCTCTTTTCTTTTCTTTTCTTTTCTTTTCTTTTCTTTTCTTTTCCCTTCCTTCCTTCCTTCCTTCCTTCCTTCCTTCCTTCCTTCCTTCCTTCCTTTCCTTTCCTTTCTTTTCTTTCTCTCTCTCTCTCTCTCTCACATACACACATTTTCACACATACATAAATCCCAAAGGAATTTATTTTGAGGGTTAGTTTCAGCTGTTACATAACACTTGGCATACATAATGCATGTTGCCTTGAACTGGGGTTGAGCACCCGTCGTGACCTTTGTAACAGTATGCTATGTTAACAGCAGTACATAATTTGAAAAGGAAACAGCAGCTGATTATTGCTGATGAGCTGGATCTGAAGTTATGGGGACCTTTAAAGGTAGCTGCATATAAAAACTGTTTCCCTGAGGCATTTGGGCCAGTGCCCTTGGGGTATTTCTTTTGTAAGTGTGAAGTAGTAAATACTATCTTTTAGCATATAGAATTATTTTGAATAGATGGTGTAGGCTACTATCCAGATAACCATCTACAAGCATTGCTGCTCCCTAGTATGAGCTCAATGCTGGACTTGGGACAGGATCAAGTGTGATGATAAGTCACGAGATCTGTAAAAGGTAATCTGTAGTACCTCAAGAAACAGGCTTTTGGAAACATCCCCAACTACTTTTTCCCTGCCCTTGGTCATCTACTTCTATCTTCATATTGGTGTCTGTTCCATATATACCAGTGTGTTTGCTGAGAAATTACCCCATAGAAGTCCAATTAAATCAGGTAGGTGTCTTGAAATAATTTCAAAGTAGAAGGAAAACCCTGGGAAAGTAGCTTATCCTTCTATTAGACCTGGCAGAGAGAAACTCTGCCTACTGTTTAAAAGAAAACCAAGAAATGAAGATTGGGACTGTAATAGATGAAGACAGAAGTTATCTTTTATAGAAGAAAATAATGAGTATGACATAGAATCTTTGAAGCAAAATTTTATTGTGACATAAAAATTAATTCCAAATTTAAAACATCTTAAGACAGGTCCTGTTAGATCTTAGATGCTCTTGCTTTAAGCATACAATTAAAATACTCCAGGCAAGTAGCTGGACTAGGCAAACTGAAGCAGTGGATAATAGATGCCACCTTGGCCAATTACTGCAGAAGGAAGTTGTTTTGCTTCGCCCCAGCCCCCAGACAAGGTTTCTCTGTGTAGCCCTGGTTGTCCTGGACTCACTTTGTAGATCAGGCTGGCCTCAAACTCACAGAAATCTGCCTGCCTAAGTGGCTGTTTTTCTTTTTATTCCTTACAAGTTGACTGAAGATTCAACACATAAGAGAGGAAGCCCTAAAAATGAAGAGGTCTAAAAGGCTGCTTACACAATGTAGGAGCAGGTAATACTAGTACCTTTTGTGAAATCTAAATTTTCAGGCTACTATTAATCTCTAATAAGAGTTAGGTGTTTTGTTCACTACACCTAAATAACTTGCCAGGCATATAGATGTTAATTTAGTTCAACCCTTAAGAAGCAATGCCAGGGGCTGGAGAGATGACTCAGTGGTTCAGAGCACTGGCTGCTCTTACAGAGGAGACAGGTTCCACTCCCAACAACCACCAGACAATTTACAATCATCTGTGACTCCAGGTCCAGAGGATCTGACGCTCTTCAGCCTCTACCACCAGGCATGCAAATGTTGCATGGACCTAATGCTCATAACATAAAGAGCCAATGGAAGCTGGGCATAGTGGTGCACATTTGCAATCAGCACTTGGGAAACGGAGGCAGGAGAATCAGAAGTTTAAGGCCAGCTTTGTCTATATAGTGAGTTCGGGTCAGCCTGGGCTTCATGTAACTCTGCCTCAAACCCCCTCCCCCCGAAACAAAAAAAGATCAAGAAATTTGTACAAGCGTAGACCTAATGAGTACCACTGAGATTTGGAATTAGGCAGACTCATAATTTGGCCAGCTGGCCACAAAACTACTATTACTACAGGAACTAGAAGAAAAGTCAACCCTTAAAATATTTTCTGCTGAATTAAGCCTTGAAAAATAAGGCGGCTCACACACCCTATTACTGTTTGAGGTCGAGAAAAAGATTCTGACACTTTGCTTACAGGAAAGGACACGAAGTGACTTCTGTGTAATTGAGGTTGTTTGCTGAAGAAGGTCGCAAGCTATCCTAAGAGAGGTGAGTATGCACAACAGTTCTTTCATCGCCAGTGCAAGCCAGGGGATTCGCACATTTGGGAGCAAGAAAACGTCTTGGATAGAGAATTCCAGCGCCTCCCTTGGTAGAGAGCTGCATTCTGTCTATTTTAACAGGTGCAGGCCTCACCTGTCCCTTCCTCTGGCCTCTTCTTGGAGGAACCAGAAATCGGCAAATTGCTCTCCCCGCGCCCCAGTCCTCTGAGGCCAGGGTGGAGCGCGGCGGAGGCTCACCCTGCAGTGGCGCCAGGATCCCACAATTCTCCGGCCTCTCCCGGCCGGCGGCTACGCAGGTCCAGCGGGGCCAGGGGAGGGGCGGCAGGGGGCGGGGCGGCAGGGTTAGGGGCGGGGCCTGGGCGGAGGGGCGAGGCCTCCTGCTGCTCGCGCGCGCCTCCGAGGCTCGCGCGCTGTCGCGCCGGCCGGGCGTCTCAGTGAAGCCTTGGCCGCCAATGGGGGAGGTGGAGCCCGGGCCCGCGGGCCCGCTGGAGCCCCCGGAGCCACCTGAAGCGGCGGCCACTCGCCGGCCCGGAGGGATCCGGGTCCTGAAGGTGAGGCGGCAGGGGGCGGGAGGAAGCCGGAGGGCCGTGGCCGCCTTCGCCAGGCTGCCCGAGGCGGCGAGCGCCCCCCGCCCTGCCTCCCTGGGCCTCCTGCAGCGGGTCGGGGCGCCGCGGGCCTGCTGTGGGCCTCCGGGCCGCGCCCCCGCCCGGGCCTCGGCCGCCTGGGTCCCCGGCGCTGTCCCTCCCTGGCCGCCGCCCGGCAGGCCCACGCCTTCGGGCCGTCGTCGCCTCGTTGGGCCTAGCCCGGGGCCCTGGGACGGGCTCCGGGGGTCCCGGAGGGCGGGCCGCGCCTGGCGGGAGGCCGGCGGGCGAGTACGCAGGGCTCGGCGGACACCTGAAGACATCACCCCAGCCGGAGGATGGCAGCGGGGATTGGCCAGGCGCCGCGGTGTGCGCGGGCTGCGCCGGCTGGAGCGGCCACACTGCCCTCTGGACTGGCTACCCGAGTTCCGAACCGGCGTCTGGCCCCAGGGCGCGACACCCCGAGCTTCCCGCTCGCGGACAGTCCCGGAGGATCTGCTGCCTGGGGAGCCGCTGGGCGTGTTGCGGGGATGTCGGGAGGAGGAGCAGAACCCGAAGGGGCACTCCTGCTTGGCTGACAGTCGGGGAGAAGGCAATGGGGAAGCCGTTATGCAACAGGCAGCTGAGCGGGGCTTTTGGGTAGAATCAGGGGAGTAGGAGGCTAGGAAAACAGATGTAGGGAAAGGGGGAGTGGAGCCTTGAAGGTGAGTGATGACAAGAAGTTTCTATGCAGGAAGAATGCAGAAGGTGAGGTGAGGTGAGGTGAGGTCAGCCAAGATGGTTAAAGGGTGGCTAACTGGGTGGAGTTCTCAACTAACCTCTGAAATAGTGCAGAGAAATTTTTCTGTAGGTTCATTGTATAAACGAAGTGGAATGGAATTCCTCTAGAGTTCTAGAAGAGCAATCGGCAGAATTTAAAACTTGCCAATGCAGAAGGGGAAGAAAATTGAGATGTAATGTGTCTCCAACAGTCTGCCAAACATCGAAAATACATATAGTTAAAAGCAAACATTAAATAATTAAATGACGTTGTTGTTGAGTAATATTTCCTTTTATTAAGTTTATTGGTAGAGTAACACAAAGATGGGAACGTCAGAAAAGTAGAACAGATTCACTTAGTGAATTCATGAAACCATGTAAATCTTATTTTCTGTCACCTCCCAGTCTTAACGCATAGACTTAAAGACCTTTCGGTAGATTACCTTAGACTGCTTCATAACTGCTTCATAACCCACATTGGAATTTACTCAGAGTGTAAATCAGTGTGTAATTACTCTAGGTCTTCTGGATATTTAAAATTGTAGCAAGTAACAAACTAAATTGTGGGTGGATTCAATAAAAACACAAATTCTGCAGGCTTTACTTATCAGGAAATAGCTCTGAGAGATAGGTAATATCTTTTGGTATGTAAAAGAGGAGCAATTCTTTAACACTTTTTTTTTTTTTTTGGTAACTTTTTTTGGTCATGTTGAAGTGATAAATTGTGTGAAAGAGAAATGAGAATCTTTATTGAAGACTGCCTTTTCCTGGTTCCCGAAGGTCCCATTTTGGGATCATTAGATTCCAATGATTGGTCAGTCTTTATTCTGGATTGATACTGAGCCTTTGACATGAGAGCCTGTCTGGAAGGCCTTCCTGGCCCTTGCTTTCCTGAAAGTGGTTAATACTCTAATCATTGTAAATAAGCGGAATTGTCGTGGAAAATAGGTCTTTTGTGTTCCATAGACAGTTCTCTTGAGTTGCTGAAAGGATCACTTTCTCAAGCGATAAAGAATACTTAGGTGAGCAGAAGATTCCGGAGCCATGTTTGCCCACATGTTTTTCTTGGAGGATGTTTGTGAAGACTTCTCTAGCCCAGAGCTTTGGCTCTGGGTCACGTGTGCAGCTGCCTGGCAGAGGTTTACTTCTAGTGTACAGGCCTCTGGTTGTATACCTCAGCATCAAAGCACTAATAGTGATTAAAGAAGAAGAAGAAGGTAAAGGGTATACTTCCAGCGTATACGGCTCTGGTTTTACTCCTTTATACTTATACCCACATCAGAAACATTATTCTCGTCTCCATGAAAGGGTTTTCATAAGAAGCCCACCAAAATTGAGCCAGCATAACTTACCCAGACTACATCAAGATCCCTCTGTTTTGTACAGGACACTGAAACATTTTATTCAAAATACACTCCTAAACCAGGACTTTGGCCTCTTCCCTGTGGTCTCATCTATTCAGAAGGCTGACATAGGACGATCAATTAAGCCTCAGGGTTCAAGGCTAGCCCAAGCAACGTATAGTGTATCTTAAAGTTATAAAGTTATTAAATTACTGAACCAGGCTCAAAAGGTTTTAGATATTTCTTATGATTTTATGATTACAGTTTTGTTCAGCCAATCAGGAAATGATAGGAAGTTACAGCCAGTCTAGTTTGTGAATATTATTTGCTATTTTCTTTAAGAATAGTTTCATATTTTTTTAATCAATTTTGTGGGTTTTTGTTTTTTGTTTTTTGTTTTTTTTTTTTGGCTTTGTTGTGTTTTGTTTTTTCAAGACAGAATTTCTCCGTGTGTAGCTTTGGCTGTCCTGGAACTCACTCTGTAGACCAGGCTGGCCTCAAACTTCCTGAGTACTGAGATAAAAGTCGTTCTCTACCACCACCAAGCTAAAGTGCATATTTTAAATTGTGTGCTTCTACATGTTGTGTGCATGTGTATGGGGGCCAGAGGGGGATGTCAGGTATCTTTTTCTGTTCTTCCTCTTAGTTTTTGAACAGGGTTTTTCTTACTGAACCAATTCCACTAGACTGGCAAACCAGTAAGCCTTTGGGTCTCCACCTTCCAGTGTTGGGGTGACCTGTGTTTGCTGCCACATCCTGATTATACTTATGTGTAGGGAATTAAACTCAGACCCCCCATGCTTGCATGCTAAGCCATTACCGACTGAGCTACCTGCTCAGCTCTGATTTTTTGTTTGTTTTTCAGGTATTGTTTTCTTGAGATAGGGTCCTACAATGTAGCCCTGGCTGATCTAGAACTTGCTTATGTGGTCCGGGTTGATCTAGAACTTGCAGCAATCCTGCCTTTGTTTTCTGAGTGCTGTATTGGTTCTGTGCAACCAGTGCCACACATTTTTAATGAAATGAAATGTTCTTCCTCTCCCCATTGTCATACTCGTTCTGGTCCCTTAGAAATACTCCATAATGTGATATTGTTTTAAAGCCCTTACTGTTTTAAAGCTTGAATGCAGAAACATCTACCTTAAGGTATTGTGTATTCTGATGGTACTCCCTAAGGACGAAGGTTGGCCAGTCTAGACCATTGGAGTTAATATGTGTATGCAGTGGAGGTTGACTACTTTTGAGCTGATTGTAGCTCTCATACATTATCTTTACTTTTAGAATTACGAGTGTTTTATTCAAGTAGTGGCTACTCGGTTCATGGCTTACATTAAAATGTTTGGCTTTATAGATTGAATATTTTGAATTTTTTTGTGTGTGGATTTATAATATTGGATGAGTGTTTTGCCTGCCTGTCTGTACATGCACCACACACATACTGGTGTCTGCTAATGTCAGAAGAGGGCTTTAGGTCCCCTGGTTTATGGGTAGTTATGAGCCATCATGTAGGTGCTGAGAACTGAACCTGGGCCCTCTGCAAGAGCAACAGGGGCTTTGACCTGCTATCTCTCCAACCCTGACTTTTAAATCGTAAGTCTGTACTCATGTTTGATATGGTGTATGATTATAGTTGTGTCCCCTTTTGGATAAGTTTGTGATAACAGCGTTTATAAAAGTAAACTGTCCTCAAGCAAGCAGCTTCAAGTGAGCTGATTCTTAGCAGTTGAAGGCTGCCCAGAGAACAGTGTCATGGCAGCCCTGACTGCTAAGACGTTCTTCCAGCAGTTCTCATGTCTTAGGCAGCAGAGCAAGACATTCCTGAGAAGAAGGAAGCACTAGGTACTTTAGCAGTGGCTAATAATAGCCTAACAGTCTGTCTTTGTTGTTGTTGCTGTACATCTTTGCTTTGCTTATTCTCAAGGTCTTTAAAAGGCTATTTGTGAGGTGCAGCTAAACCATATCTAGGGTTCTCTAACTCCTCAGCAGTTTTACTTTAAAAAGTCTAGAGTATAGACAGACAGATCTTGAGATGACCAATAAATATGTGTGTTTTGATAACATAAAGCTCTGTAAGAAATGTATAGTCTTAGAGGAGTACCTGTACACAGTTACAGATGATTGCTAAAAATCTCCTGGAAGATGCTTGGTGTGGTGGCACACACAGCAATCCCTGCCTTGGGAGGTGGGGTCCACAGGATAGAGTTAAGGCTGGCCTCACCTATGGAGTGATTTGAGGCCCATGTGGGTTGCATGAGCCCCCACCTCAAACAATTTTTGGGATAAGAGTCATAATACTTCTGGATCTTTCTGCACTTTTCTAAGACTATGAAGTTCATTATTTGATCTGTTAATTTTATTGTTGTTTTTGCAGCAGGGTCTTACTTTGTAGGTCTGGCTGGCCTAAACTTGCAGCAGTTTTGCTGCCTCAGCCTCCTGAGTTCTGGGACTACTATCATTCTTGCCTTTTCCAAAGCCTTTCGGTGGCGTAGATTGTGTTTGCTTTCTCTTCGTTCTCTACATTAGTGTGGGATGCAAAGCTTGTTTGTATACGTTACTCTACCACATAGAATTCTGGCCAGAGGGACCATTTAGTCTTTATTAGAGATTAGAAAGTAAGCATTATTCAAAATTAGCTGCTGGTTAACTACTGAGTGGTTACAACTTCTTGGTGCAAACATGATGGTTCTTGTGTGTTTGAGATGAGCACTTGAAAGCCCTTTGTTGATTCTGAGATTCAGCTGAGGTTGGAGGAAAAGTGCATTTAGTGAGAAAAGAGGCTTCATTTCCACCGGTGTCAGGGCTTTATTCTGTATGATTTTGAATAGTTCTAAGATCTTGAGGAGCTGCAGAAAGATCTGCTTAGGGATGAAAGTGTCACTCAGTTGTAGAGTGCTTACCTAGTATGTCAAGGCTTGTCTTCAATCCATAGGACTGTTTTTCAAAAGCCAGTTTTCCTGTTATTCTAAATTTAAAAAGTAAAGGCATTCATTCCTTTGTTTTAAAATCATCACATGTGGAATGCCTCCTTATTTACTGTTGTTTTTACTGTTTACTTATTTTGATGTGGCCCACATTGGTTTTGAACTTGATCCTCTTGCCTCTGACTCTCTAGTGTCCAGCATCTGGGATTACAGGCATGTTTCTCTATGCCTGGCTCAGTTTATAGTTATTCTCAAGTATCTACTCTCAGCCAAACTAATATTTTCTTTATATGTATTTCTGTTTTCTAATGAGTAATACTAGTGAAAGTTTTTATTTACTTTGACTTTGGTAAAGATTATTTACTAGACTACAAAAATTGAGACTTTCTTTTTAAATTTGTTTAATTCCTTGCCATAACTAATTAGGGACGCTAAAGTGCACATTGGGTGTCAATTCCTGTGGTGTCACCTGGGCTTTGCATCTGTGTCTGTGACATTCTGCATTAAAAACTCTGTCAAGGGTCTTTGTGAAGAGAGAAGAGACAATTACAGTCGATGGTTACATGTGTTTGGTAGAAGTATTGTTCTGTTGAGAGGAGAATTACTGATGCTAGATTGCGTGGGAGCTGTGGAAGGCTCGGAAGAGAACCTGACATCTAAGGAGCTTTGGAGAGTGTGCGTGTGGATAAGGTGAGAAGACGGTTCAGACATGCCACACAGTGGCAGGACGGTAAATGTGCTCAGGGACACAGATGGTTAGAGAGGACTGAAGCACAGCAAAGGCAGTGGGAAGTCAGGGGAAATTTCTTTTTTTGTTGACTGGAAATGGCCCATTGTGAAAATAACAGGCAAATGGTGACGTTTAGAAATTATTTGTTGTTGTTTCATTTTTGAAACAGTCTCAATATGTAGCCCAGGCCAGCCTGGAACACACTTAGGCCAAAGTTATCATTACACTCTAGATACTCTCCTTGCTCTTCTGCTTGACTGCCAGTTATAGGTGTGTCCCACTTTGCCTGGCTGGATGTTTTGTTTGTTTGTTGTTTTGTTTTTGCTTTTCTGAGACAGGGTTTCTCTGTGTGTAGCCCTGGCTGTCCAGGACTCACTCTGTAGACCAGGCTGGTTGTGAACTAACTCAGAGATTTGCCTGCCTCTGCTTCTTGAGTGCTGGGATTAAAGGCGTGTGCCACCACCACCCAGCCTGGCTGGACATTTTTTATATTGGCTCTTAACAGTTGTTTTGCTTTAAGATAGCTTGACTTTATAGTACAAATGTGAATTTCACATACTGTGGTTATAAAATGCCAGCAGTAATTATTTTAAAGCATGCCAGGAATAGGACAGATACTGTATTATAAGATTGTATGTAGTGCTTTATGTGTTTGGACTGTGAGGTCTGAGAAACATTCTGTATTGCCAGATTAAAATGGGGAGGTTTTTATCAACTGACTTCTTTGTGTAAAAAGCTTAGTTTATATGTATCAGATTCCATCTGAAATGTGAACTAATAATTATTACTTTCATTTTTTGTCATAAAAAACCCTTTGGAAATAAATAAAAACGTAACACACAAAAATTAACCAGACCCAAAGACTGTATAACTTAATGAATTTATATACAGTTAGACTTGGCATTTAGAACAGAAACTTAAAACTTTACATTAAATTTGACATTTTTAGTACTGAATGTATTTTATTCACTTATCTACCACCAAGACCCAAAAAATTTTATGACAGAATTAGAACTAAAAACATTTAGTTCTAATTACATTTAGCTATATATATAAACTTGTATCCATTAACAGCATTTGCTCTTTAAATTCAGCTTTTCTTGTTCTCATTTCCCTATGTTATACTGTAACATTTATGTTTGTTGGCACGTACACACATATGATTGACTATTATTTAGAATAATGATGTGTGTTACGTTTGCATTGCTGGGACAGGTAGCGGAGAAAAGCACCTTAAGTGGGGAGAGGTTTATTTTGGCTCATAGTTTTAGTGGGTCTCAAGCCACAAGTATGAGGAAGGCAGACAAGTTTATACCTACTATGTGTTGAATCAGGAAGTAGAAAGCACCTTAGAAGGAAGGGCTGGTGTATAACTTTCAAAGATCCATCCCGTTGCGCTGCCTCTGCCAGCTTAGTCCCTACTCCCTAAAGATTTCCCAACTTGGAATAACACATCCGCTGGGAAGCAGGATGTGAATGTGTGAGTGTGTGTGTGTGTGTGTGTGTATTTATTTGAGACAGGGTCTCACTATTTAGTGCTGGTTTGCCTGGAAATTTGCAGGCCAGACTGGCTTTGAACTCAAAAAGAGCTGCTGGCATTTCCCTTTGAATTCTGGGAGTAATGGTGTGTGACCATTTGGCTAGCAAGGAACAAGCCTTTGAACGTTTGTCTTGGGATAGTTCAGATTCAGCCCATAACAGATCTGAACTAAGTAAGTCAAAATGTTAAAAATTTGTCCAAGATGGGTAGTATATCTACATTTTGTTAGCACTTTACTGAAAACAAAAAGAAAGGGTCAAATGAGATGATAGATGAAGGCCTAAAGAAGGCTTCATTAGGGTTCTCTAAAGGAACAGAGCTGATAAAACTGATAGTCAAGGGGATTTATTTCACTGATCTACAGGATGTCGTGCAGATAGTTCAACAATAGCTATCTCACAATAAAAGGCCTGAGACTCTGGTTATTTTTGAGCCCATGAGCCTCGATGCCTCAGCAGTCTCAGTCTGGTGCTCAAGTCTGGGAAGATTCCTGAAGAGCTGCTGGTTTTCAGCCTGTGTTGGAATCCTGAAGAAGTTGGATTTAATACCAGTTCCAGTAACAGGCTAGACGAATATGCCAGCATAGTGAAGGCAGGCAGGCAAAAGCAAAGCTTCCTTCTTGCCTGCCCTGTTATGTGAGCTGCCACCAGGTGTGGCCCAGTTTTAGGGTGGGTGTTCCTGCTTCAGTAATCTGTTAAAGAGGGTCTCTCATGGGTGCCCTGCAGCGTGGGTTCCAGCTGATTCCAGATGTTGTCAAGATCAGCCACCACAGAGGGGAAGGACCAAACATATATAATTCAGACAAATGTTCTTGTTAATGATTTCTTTCTCTTGGTTTTTTTCTTTTTTTTTAGAGAAATATGAAACACAATGCGAGCAGAAATTGTTTGAATAGAAGAAGTAGGTTTGGTTCTCGAGAAAGAGACTGGCTTCGAGAAGATGTGAAGAGAGGCTGTGTTTACCTTTATGGAGCAGACACAACCACTGCCACTACAACCACTACCACCTCCTCCTCCTCTGCGTCCTCCACCTCTTCTGACTTACATCTTGTCCTTTGTACAGTAGAGACACCAGCATCAGAAATATGTGCTGGAGAGGGAAGAGAAAGTCTCTATCTACAGCTTCATGGAGACCTGGTCAGGTGAGGTCTGGAGATTTTCTTGTTGATGTTTTGTTTTGAGTCAAGAGTCCTCTGTGCCTCAGCATGGTCTCAAACTCAAATTCTTCTGCTTCAGCCTTTTAAATGGTAGGATTATAGGCATGCACTGCTATACTGGCTGAGGTCTTAATAGTGGTTCTACTGTAACATTGGTAACATGCATTTCTGATCAGAGGTGGGCTTTAGGATGATAATCACACTCTGTAACTGATGGTGATTTTAGAGTCAATGGGCCTGGAAAAGATTTGTCTTTGGAATACTTAATGATTTTAAAAATTAATGTTTTGTATGTAGTATATCTTCATATTTATGTGTTTGTAGAGGCTAGGGTTTGATGTCAAGTTTTTTCTTCTACAGGTTTTTAAAGGTTTTATTTTTAACTATGTTTAGGGGTGTGTGTGTGTGTGTGTATGTATGTTGTGTGTGCGTGGGTATGTGCATGTGAGCTGCCTGGCTGCTGGGAACTTAACTCAGTTCTTCTGGACCAGCAGCAAGTGCTCTTACCAGCTAAGCCATCTCTCTAGCTCTGGTATTTTGAGGTAGTCTCTCAGTCTGGAGCTCACCAACTGCTAGATTGCCTGGTCAGTGAGCCCAGGGTACCTGCCATTCTGGGCCCCATAGTGCTAGAGGTACAGGCATGCATCAGTCATCACACCTGGCCTGTGTGTGGTTGCTGGAGTCCACACTCAGGTCCTCATGCTTATATGGCAGATACGTTACTAACCAAGCATCTTCCCAGTCTCTTGCTTTATGATTCTCAGTCTACACACTATAATGGAGGAAAATTTGTTAGTTCTTCTATTTGGAATACATTGTATGTCCTATATACAAATTTAAGCATTTTAAAAGTTAACCTTTTTGGGAAGTGTAAATAGAACAAAATTAAAGTGTACAAAAGGGTACAGAGTGAGAACTCCTTCTCTCTTCGCCATTCCCCAGCCATCCAGGCCTTTTCATGAAGACAGTTTTTTCTTATGCATCCAATCATAAACATGCTCATGCTCCACATCCACATTTTTAAAACAGTGATGCTATACATAACACACTGTTGACTTAATATCTCTAAGAGACATTTCTATGTTCATATTTATATAAATATTTATTCAGTGACTACATGACTGTTCCACTTTGTGGGTCACCATAATTTTGGCTAATCTCCCTAATCTCTCATTATGGGTATTAGCCTGTTACCAGTTTTTTAGCACAGCAGACAGTGCCACAACTGAATTCCTCTGTACCTGCTATCTCACACAGAAGGATAAATCTCAGAAGTGCAGTGTCCTTGGTCAAAGGAATATGACCATTTGTAATCTTGATAACTATTTGCAACTTCTTTATAGAGGTTATAGTTCCATCTAAAATATGAAAATAGGGGGCTGGAGAAAGGGTTCAGCAGTTAAGAGTATGCTGTTCTTCCAGAGAATCTAGGTGTAGTTCCTAGCATCTGCATGGTATTTCTCCAATGTCTGTAACTGCAACCTCAGGGGATCTAACACCCTCTTCTGGCCTCCTTGAATATCAGGCATAGCTATAGTACACAGACATATATGTAAGCAGAACACCCATACATGAAAATAAATCCTTAAATATTTTTAAATCAGAAAAGATCCCTGAAATAAAATATAAAAATATACCCATTTTTTCTTTACTTTCTCTAAAACACATTAATATTAAGTTTTATATGTAAGTGCAGATAGATAATCTTGCATGAGCTGAAACTGCTTTTAAAGGATCCCAAATGCTTGGAAGCACTGGTGTGTACCACCATACCAGGCTCAGATAGGAGTTTTGCTGTTCTGTTGTTTTAATATTGATTTCTCTTAATGAGTGAAGTTGAGCATATTGGTATAGGCTTAAAATTAATCTGTGATTTAAATTTTTTATATAAATGCAAAGACAATAGTCTTTGTCCCAGTTAGGGTTTCTGTTGCTGTGAAGAGACACTGTGATTACAACACTTAAAAAAAATTTTTTTTAATTGGGCCTGGCTTATAGTTCAGAGGGTTAGTTCATCATTGTCATGAAGGAAGTAGAGCAGTGCACAGGGAGACATAGCGCTAGAGAGGTAGCTAAGAATTCTACTCTGATGGGTAGGCAGCAGGACGAGTAAGTGAACCACTGGGCCTGGCTTGAGCCTCTGAGGCCTCAAAGCCCCCCCCCCTCCCCAGTGACATACTTCTTCCAACAAGGCCACACCTTCTAGTAATGCCAATCCCTATGGGCCTATGGGGAAAGCATTTTCATTCAGACCACCATAGTCTTATAGTACTTTTATACTGTGCATCTCAGCTCTTTAATTCAACATTAACAATGAAAATGCATTAATTCCTTAAATCCTTCACTATGTTTCTGTCCTTTTTAGTAGTAAACAGAAATAGAATTGGAAGCTGTGAGTTCAGCATTATTGAAGTTCCTTTGTGAAGTGAAATTGCTCACACCTTAGAGGTGTGGTAATAGTAGTAACAGCTGAGCCAGAAGCTGATGCCTCTTTAGAAGTGTGAACTGGGGTTTACTGGGTATTCTTTTTAAGATCTGGATGCAATCCTGAAAAAGTAGATTAGCATGTGAATGTTTTCCCTGTTCCCAAGTTAACTTCATTTCCTAAATCCTTTTGTATAACAAAAGGATCAGCTGGGTGATCCGTAGGCTCTTCTAAATCCTAACACGATTCCGATCTAATTTTATCAGGTGGAAAGCCTTGACCTAGATTACAGCTGGTAATGATTGCTGGTGCTCACTTATTTAAGCAGGTGTCTTACTCATTTACTGGTGTTTGCATTAGAAGATGCCTGGAATATGAAGAAACACACTTCATTACTTTGTTCTCACTAGTTGTATAATTAGTTATGAATTCAAATGTGATATAGTTTATTAACACATGAGAATGTAAACTGTAATTAAAGTGGAATGTTTATCTCTTGTTAGTCTGTAGCTCTGATAATTAATAGTTGTTGGGTTTCAGACCAGGGACAAGTAGCTGAGGTGCATATTTAACATTCCAAAGTGGACCTGGCCTCCGGGTTCTACCAGCATCCCTCAGTTGCTACATGTTACAAGGCATGGCTGACATACCCAGTCCTTTACCCTGAACTTTCTAGCCCAGGGGCTGGGATTCCTCTCCCCCAGAGGTTCTTCACTATATAATCCAGATATTTTGGTTCTCTCCCTCTCTGCATTTTTTCTCTCCCTGCATGTGCACAGCCTCTTTCTTTTTCTTCCCCTTCCTTCCCCATGGCTATTTTCCTGGCTTTGTTCCTTGGGACCAGTGAACATGCCCAAGAGCTACATTTAATAAATCTGCCTTTATGCTTTAATCTGACTTGAAATGGCTCATTTTGTCATTGGAGACAACGCATTACCTTGGTGCTGAGAACCTGGGAGAAGATGAGCCCCCAACCTGGTGGGACCACTTCTCTCACTCCACTTGAAGAGATAGACTTTGGGCTTAGGGTTAAGTCACTATTTCACAGCTGCAGCCTAAGAGGTACTGGGTGCCTCTTCTGGGTCCAGGACTTCCCAGATCCCCTGCTACGCTGTGGCTCAGCAGGGTAAGCTCATTCCAGAGCAAAGATCAGGTGGTGGTGTACTTTTTAAAAACTCTTTTATTTACGTTTCTTATATCTCTTTCTCCCTACTTCTACCCCAGTCCCTTCTAACACACCATCACCAGGTAGGAGAGAGAAAGGGTTAGGGGTATCAGTTCTCTTGGCTGCTTCCTGCTGGTTAGGGTCACTGGGTTCCAGTCCAATCCTCCTTTCAGGAGATCTCCAACTTCTTGTCTCAGTGCATCAACAGCAACAGGATCCAGAGGGGGAAGCAGCAGCAGCTTGTCATTTCTCAGAGATATTCTGCATTCTCTGGACTCTGGCATTTATTCTCTCTCCAGAGTCCTCAGATTTTAACTATCTGCAGCTGGCAAAGAGCTCCTCTCAGAGCCCGCACAAAGTCTGCTGCTGTGGACTATCTGAATCAGTTCCACATCCTACACCTGGTATTAAAACAAAAAATATATTTATCTCCACAACAATCAGTTAAAAAAAAACAAACAAACATGATCCAGCATATTTAGGCACTTGTTGCCAAGCCCAACAAGTTGGATCCCTGGGACTCATATAGTAGACATGCACACCGTGGTGTGTGTATGTCTATACACACCTACTAGATATTAAAAACATTTTTTCATTTTGAGAGCAAAGCTGGGTGTGTTGACACCTACCTGTTATCCCTGTGTTTGGGAGGTGGAGGCAAGAAGGTAAGAGTTCCTGGTCATTTCTCAACTACACATGGAGTTGGAGGCCAGCCTGGACTCCCTGAGACCTTATTTCCAAAACTGAAAAAATGATTGAGACCTAATATACAATAGTAGCAGGGGTGGAGAGATGGCTCAGCAGTTAAGAACACCGGCTGCTCTTCCACAGGTCCTGAGTTCAATTCCCAGCAATGTCACGTCATCTTACAGCTGTGTATAATGGGATACTATGCCCTCTTCTGACCTGTAAGCATTCATGCAGACAGAGCCCTCATATACATGAAAAAAATAAACAAATACATAAATCTTTAAATATATATGTACAATAGTAGCTTAGGTTGGATTATGGAGTAAAAAAGTATGGTTCAAATCCTGTCCTTGACAGTTTACCATGCAAGTACATAATGTTCTATACCTTATGGATTTGTAGAATGGAGAATATTTTTATTGTTTATCATGAGGATTAAATCCATTGCATCTTATATGAAAAGTAATGAGTTACTTATAAATAACACTTATTAAACTGTTTACCCATACGAACCTTGTTTAAATACAAATTCTGACTGGGCAGTGGTGACACATGCCTTTAATCTCAGCACTTGGGAGGCAGATTTCTATCAATTGGAGTTCAGCCTGGTCTACAGAATGAGTTCCAGGTCAGCCAAGGGTACACAGAGAAACCCTGTCTTGAAGAACCAAAAATAAATGAGTAAATAAGTAAATAAAAAAAAAC